CCCCCTTTTTTTTTTTTTTTTTTTTTTTTTTTGAGGTGGAATCTCACTCTGCCACCCAGACAGGAGTGCAGTGGCACACTCACGGCTACCCCAGCATTGACCTGCTGGGCTCCGGCGATCCTTCTGCCTCAGCCTTCCAAATAACTAGAAGCACGCTACCACACCCAGCTAATTTTTTAAAAAAATTTATTGTAGAGACGAAGTCTCACCATGTTGCCCGGGCTGGGCTCGAACCCACAGGCTCAGGCAGTCCACTCGTCTCGGACTCCCAAAGTGCTGGGATTACAGGCTGAGCCACCAAGCCCAACTCCTTCATCTTTTATAAAGGAATATTACGTATTTTGATGCCATTTACAAATAAGCAGCTTCTCAAAAATCTGGAGACACGTCCTTCAAGGATATCACAGTCTTTATGTCCAGCTTAGCTTTTAGGACCAGAGGGGTTATTTTTTTTCCTCCAAGGGCCCTAAACCATCCCAGTCAGATATCCCAGATTTCTTTCCTTCCAACTCGTGTAGTATGTTTGACTGTTATTGATTTCCTTCTTCCTTTTCAATCAGGACTCGGAAAAACTAACTGAATTTCCTAAGCACAGAAGGTACACTTCCTCCACAGTGACTGATGTAGTTCCAAGTGCAACCTCTACCAGGCATCTAAGTACTGACCAGGTTCTGGATTCTGCTGGTGGTTTTGGTGCAGATCAGACCTTAAGAGCATCCAGCGGCACAGCATACCCTTCTGATGGAGTTCCTAGTAGGGAACGAATCAGGGGCCCCTCTGGTACTGGTAGAGAACAGCACCCGAGGGCCCAGACTGAAACTGGCACGTTAAGACTCCATCAGCCTTCCTTATCCAAATTCACATTAGACTCAGATCATCACGGGAGTAAAGAACAATTTACCTTAGCATATCCAACAAGAGGTGAACAAGATGCACATCCTGGCTCAATTCCACAAGCCAAAGACTGGCAAACATACATGCACCAAGATCCGCAGAGCAAGATACCCGTTAGTCAGGGCCAAGTCTCTCTAAGGCCAGATCACCATGGATTAGGAAGGACTGGCATGGATCAGCCTGGACTGCTGCATCCTAGCACTCATCCACATGCTGTGGTACCCCATAGCATGGGTCAGCTCGGTGTGCTACCACCTGAAATGGATGATCAGGGATTGGTACCACTTGGCATGGGTCAGCCTGGTCTGGTGCCACCACTGGCACTTGCCAGAGATCAGCAAGGACCAGAACTCCCCAGGACAGACCAGCATGGGATGGTTCCACTCAGCACAGATCAGCATGGTATGATACTTCCTGGCACAAAACAGCCTGGCATGGATAAGAGTGGTATGAAACCACTTGGCATGGATCAGCATGGACCAAGACCCCCTGGCATGGATCAGCAAGGACTGGTACTGCCTGGCCTAGATCAACAAGGACTGGTTCCACCTCTTACAGAGCAGCATGGCTTGGGGTCATCTGGTTTGATGCCAGTTAGTACAGCCCAACGAGGTTTTGTACAGCCCAGTCTGGAAGCATCTGGCTCCATACAACCTGGCATGGATCAGCGTGGTCTGGTGCAACCTGGTGCAGGTCAGCCTGGCATAGTTCAACCTGGAGCAGAGCAGACCGATGCAGTGCAGCCTGGGACAGATCAGCACAGTTTGATACAGCCTGGAATGGATTGGCATGGTCTGGTGCAATCTGGTGCATTTTCTAGTGGTTGGCTACAGCCTGATGCATATCCACCTGGTCTGGTACAGCCTGGTGCATACCCCCCTGGTCTGGTACAGCCTGGTGCATACCCTCCTGGTCTGGTACAGCCTGGTGCATACCCACCTGGTTTGGTCCAACCTGTTATAGATCAACATGGTTTGGTTCAGCTAGGAGCTGATCAACATAGTTTTGTGCAGCCTGGTGCAGATCAGCATGGTTTGGTGCAACCTGGTACATACCTACCTAGTTTGGCACAGCCTGATACAGACCAGCATGGTGCATATCATGTTGGCTTGGTGCAACCTGGAATGGCTCAGCTTGGCTTAGTCCAACCTGGTGTAGATCTGCGTGGTTTGGGCCAACCTGGAGTGGATCAGCATGGTTTGGCCCAACCTGATGCAGGTCAGCATGACTTTAGAATAGATCAGCAAGGTTTGGGCCAACCTGGAGTGGATCGGCGTGGTTTGGGCCAACCTGGTGCAGATCAGCCTGGTTTGGGCCAACCTGGAGTAAATCAGCATGGTTTGGTGCAACCTGGAGTGGATCAGCAGGGTTTGGGCCAATCTAGAGTGGGTCAGCATGGTTTGACACAACCTAGTACAGTTCAGCGTGGTTTGGCACAACCTGGTGCAGTTCATCGTGGTTTGGTGCCACCTAGAATGGATCAGCGTGGTTTTGTGCCACCTGGTGTAGATCAGCTTGGTTTGGTGCCACCTGGAGTGAACCAGCTTGGTTTGGCACCACGTGGCATGGATCAGCATGGTGTGGCCCAACCTGGAGTGGATCAGCGTGGTTTTGTGCCACCTGGCATCGATCAGCGTGGTTTGGTGCCACCTGGAGTGGATCAGCGTGGTTTTGTGCCACCTGGTGTAGATCAGCTTGGTTTGGTGCCACCTGGAGTGGATCAGCGTGGTTTAGTCCAACCTAGAGAGGATCAGCTTGGTTTGGGCCAACCTGGTGCGGATCAGCGTGGTTTGGGCCAACCTCGTGCGGATCAGCGTGGTTTGGGCCAACCTCGTGCGGATCAGCCTGGTTTAGGCCAACCTCGTGCGGATCAGCGTGGTTTGGGCCAACCTGGAGCGGATCAGCGTGGTTTGGGCCAACCTCGTGCGGATCAGCCTGGTTTGGTGCCACCTGGAGTGGATCAGCGTGGTTTAGTCCAACCTGGTGCGGATCAGCCTGGTTTGGGCCAACCTGGTACGGATCAGCCTGGTTTGGGCCAACCTGGTGCGGATCAGCGTGGTTTGGGCCAACCTCGTGCTGATCAGCGTGGTTTGGGCCAACCTGGAGCGGATCAGCCTGGTTTGGGCCAACCTCGTGCGGATCAGCGTGGTTTGGGCCAACCTGGTGCGGATCAGCCTGGTTTGGGTCAACCTCGTGCGGATCAGCGTGGTGTGGGACAACCTGGGGCGGATCAGCCTGGTTTGGGTCAACCTGGAGTAAGTCAGCATGGTGTGGCGCAACCTGGAATGGATCAGCAGGGTTTGGGCCAATCTAGAGTGGGTCAGCGTGGTTTGACACAACCTAGTACAGTTCAGCGTGGTTTGGCACAACCTGGCGCAGTTCAGCATGGTTTGGAGCCACCTAGAATGGATCAGCGTGGTTTGGGGACACCTAGAGTGAACCAGCTTGGTGTGGCACCACCTGGCATGGATCAGCATGGTTTGGCCCCACCTGGAGTGGATCAGCGTGGTTTTATGCCACCTGGCCTAGATCAGCTTGGTTTGGTGCCAACTGGAGTGGATCAGCATGGTTTAGTCCAACTTGGAGTGGATCAGCATGGTTTGGTCCAGCCTGGTGCAGATCAGCGAAGTTTGCTTCAGCCTGGTGCAGCTCAGTTTGGTACAGTGCAGTCTGGGATGGATCAGGGTAGTTTGGTGCAGGCTAGGACAGATCCACATGGCTTGGTTCAACCTGGTGCATATATTCCTGGTTTGGTTCAACCTGGTGCATATCCACCTGGTTTAGTCCAGCCTGATGTCTATCCTGATGGTTTGGTTCAACCTGGGGCATATCCACGTGGTTTGGTGCAGCCTAGAATGGATCAGCGTGGTCTGAGACAACCAGATACAGATCAGCGGGGCTTGATGGCACCAGGCAGAGAGTTTCATGGCCCTCCAACATTACAGGCATATTCTCCCAATTTTATATCACCACGGAAATATCAGCATGACGTGGTACCTCCTGGAAGACAGCAACACAGCCAGGTGTCACCACTCCTGACCAGCAAAGGTTGGGCATTGCCAGATATAGACCAAAGGGGTTTGGTACCACCAGAAACTTCTCAGCAAGGTTTGATACACCCTGGCACAGACCAGCATGGCCCAACACCAGTAAGCACAGGTTCAGGTTCTGCATACCCAGATCAACAGCATTTGGTATCACCTGGCCCAGGAGAGCACGGCCAGGTATACCCAGATGCAAATCAGCATAGCCATGCATACTCTCTCTCAGATGACCATGGTCTAATGTATCCTGGCTATGTTGGCCCAGGGTATCCAAGTGTTGATCAGTATGGCCAAGGTTATTTGGATCCAAATAGAACATTTGTCTCACACCAACCTGGAATTCCTGCCCAGTCTGCCTCAGGCCAAGATGTCACCTTTTTTAGGGGTCCAGACTTCCGTCACCGACTCTCGTCAGAAAGGAGTGAAGTTCAGACTGAACGACGCGATTCACTCTACAAACGGGCTCCTAGTTTCCCCATGGCAGTGGAAACGTTTCGTCTGATAGGAGAGCTCATTGGGCTCTATGTAGAGCTAAAGGATAGAATAAAGGAGCTGGATGAGCTGCAAGCTGGCCAAACAGATTTGGAGAAGATACAGTACCTGCTTGCGATGATGGGTGGGTGCCGATTGCCCTTGTAGGAGACACTATTGTCTTAGTTTTACGTTGATTGCATTCTTTCCTGCCCCTGGCCTCAGCTCCTGGCTGCTGGGCTTCTCCCCGCATCCTTGAAAACAGCATGTCCATTCTTAACCACTCTGGGTTTTCCCATGGCCTTCAGGAGCCAAATGAACAGGCGGGCAAAGGATAGAACTAAAACTGTAGGACTGATGAAGCCTCAAGAGAGGAACACAGATTCTCATGCCTTTATCAGACCCTCTGGATAGTAGCTGAGGAAAGTATTGGGGTAAGGGAACAAGGACATTGAAGAGTTAAACTTAACATCTGCCCACTCCCAACTCTAGGCCCAGAGAGTACTTAGGATTTTAGAGTCTGGCCGAGTGTGGTGGCTCATGTTTATAATCCCAGGGCTTTGAGAGGCCAAGACGAGAGGATTGCTTGAGGCCTGGAGATCAAGACCAGCCAAGGCAACACAGCAGGACCCAGTCTCTACAAAAAGAAAATTAAGAACTAGCCAGGCATGGTGGCACACACCTGTAGTCCCTGCTCCCTGGGAGACTGAGTGGTAGATCACTTGAACCCAGGAGTCAGAGGCTGTAGTGAGCTATGATTGCACCATTGTACTCCAGCCTATGTGAGACCTTGTCTCAAAAAAAAAAAAAAAAAAAAGAGGTGGATGGAAATGGTGGGTCAGTTGTCCCAAAACCCTTTAGGATGTCAAACATTGGGTGGGGGAGTTTTATGGACTAAGGACAAGTCCTTCTTCCTTCTTCCCGTCCCCTCTCCATAGTCACCAGGAGAAGCAGGATAAAGCAGTATGTCTGGTTGTTTTCTGGGGTAGCTTCATAGTCGTGGTGGCAGGAAATGGAGATTTGGAGCCCACTAGAAATCTAAGCTCTCTGATGGTAACCTCTCTATTTTCCATAGTCCAAAAGACCATCCCTCCAGACCTGGAGGAACAGTTGAAGAATTTACAGACAATGACCAAAGAAATTCGGCAGGAAAAAGCAAAAGTAAGGGAAGAAGGATCGGCCCACTTTGCTGATCCTTCTTTCTAATGGCACTTTCTATTTGTTTTTTGTTTTTTTTTTTGAGTTGGAGTCTCACTCTGTCGCCCAGACTGGAGTGCAGTGGCCGCTCCCGGCCACCGCAGCCTCGACCTGCTGGGCTCCGGCGATCCTTCCGCCTCAGCCTTCCGAGTAGCCGGAATTACAGGCACGCGCGCTACCACGCCCGGCTGATTTTTTGATTTATTGTAGAGATGAGGTCTCGCTGCCCAGGCGGGTCTCCAACCCGCGGGCTCAGGCAATCCACTCACCTCAGCCTCCCAAAGGCACAGGATGACAGGCTGAGCCACTGAGCCCGGCTTCTATTTGTATTTTGATGGCACAGACAGTCCTTTCCCAGACACTATTATCTCATTGGCTCTTTCCATCCCATCAGACGGGACATGCCCCTCAGGTATCATCATGTCCATTTTCTGAATCCAAAAACTGCCGCTCAAAGATGTGAGGATTCAGCTGAGCCAAATAACAAGGATTTTGTTCTCTTCATTCCGTGTTGTAGACTTGGAGCCCAATTTGTGGGACTTTCTGGGGCCAGAGGTCATTGCAAGGGACTGCTAGATCGATCTTCAATCATTCTCTTTTTTTTTTTTTTTTTTTTTGAGTTGGAGTCTCACTCTGTCACCCAGACTGGAGTGCAGTGGCCACTCCCGGTCACTGCAGCCTTGACCTGCTGGGCTTCGGCGCTCCTTCCGCCTCAACCTTCCAAATAGCTGGAACTACAGGCGCACACTTACCACGCCAGGCTAATTTTTGATTTATTGTAGAGATGAGGTCTTGCCAAGTTGCCCAGGTGGGTCTCGAACCCGTGGGCTCAGGCAATCCACTCATCTCAGCCTCCCAAAGGCACAGGATTACAGGCTGAGCCACCGAGCCCAGCTTCAGTCATTCTCTTAATACGAGTCCTCTACATCCATAGGATGGATGGATGTCTGCAAGGATCTTGGCTTTGATCACAAAGGGTTGGATTAGGGAATGGGGAAGGGGCTGGCTTGAGCTGCTGGGGCATATTCAGGAGGGGGGGAACTCAAGCCTGCCTGACTCCCCTCTTTCATTGGGTTGGTAGCTGGACAGGTTGCAAAAGTTCCTGGATGGCGAAGGAGACAAAGAATCAGAGGAGTTGAAAACTAGCCAGCTGGGTTTGCAGCTGGGCATCCTCAGGTAAAATGCCCCACCCAAGAGCAGCTGGCCTCCTGGCATCATGTATTCCCAGCCAAAGAGGTGATGGTAGCCTTTGGCTCACCCACGCCTCTAAGCCGACCACTGTCTTTGACCTGGATCATGTCTGCTCTTACGATTGTCCATATCTAGTTCAAGAAACTGGTAGAAGCTCCCCAGGTGTTTAGCCACAGGTCAGGGCCAGGGCTTGGAAAAGCAAAAAGAAGTTCCTTGGACTCTGTGCCCAGTTGGAGGCTGGAGAAGACTACTTGCTAGAGGCCCTCAGTAACCCAGTCCCACTGCCCAGAAGCCCCTCACTCCATCACACTGGATGTTCACCTTCAGGATGAAGGCGGGGCCCCAGATCGCTAGACAGAACCTGCTGGAGGGATGTGAAAGACCCTGGCTTGCCTCCTCCTAAGCCCCCGTGGCAAAGGCCCCGCCTTGGTGGGCTCAGGGCTCAGGGTTGGCTGTGGAGCCAGGTGGGGTCTCTTGTCATGTACCACAGAGTCACCGTGGCAGACATTGAGAAGGAGCTGGCCGAGCTGAGAGATAGCCAAGGGCAAGGCAAGGCCGCCATGGAAAATTCGGTGTCCGAAGCCTCCTTCTACCTGCAGAATCAGGTGAGGATTCTATCTCTTCAGCCCCAGGGACCCAGGGCCCTTGTCAGAGCTGGCCGCAGACGACGGCGCCAGGCTTGCCCTCCCACCTCTTCTCAGAGACCGGGCACCTCAGTTTCCCCTTTTCGTGTGTGTGTGTGTGTGTGTGTGTGTGGGAGTGGCAGCTGTGTCGAGGATCAGTTCCTGCGTGATCCAAAGTCATCTGAGGCCACAGGGGCAAGGGCATGTCCTGTGGCAAGGGAAAGGTACCCCATTTAGACCTGTTTACCTTCCATTAAATCTTTCTTTCTCACCGGGTGTAGTGGCTCATGCCAGTATCCTAGAGCTTTGGAAGGCTGAGGCAGGAAGATCGCTTGAGCCCAGGAGCTCGAGACTGTGCTGAGCTTGATCGTACCACTGCCTGGGCAACAGAGCAAGACCCTGTCTCTTAAAAAAAAAAAAAAAAAAAAAGAGCCGGGCTGGGTGGCTCAGCCTGTAATCCCGCGCCTTTGGGAGGCTGAGGTGAGTGGATTGCCTGAGCCCGTGGGTTCGAGACCCGCCTGGGCAGCGAGACCTCATCTCTACAATAAATAAAACAAAAATCAGCCAGGCGTGGTAGCGCATGCCTGTAATTCTAGCTACTTGGAAAGCTGAGGCGGAAGGATCGCCGGAGCCCAGCAGGTCGAGGCTGCGGTGGCCGGGAGCGGCCACTGCACTCCAGTCTGGGTGACAGAGTGAGACTCCAACTTAAAAAAAAAAAAAGACTGGTCACAGTAGCTCATGCCTGTAATCCCAGCACTTTGGGAGGCAGAGGTAAGAGGATTGCCTGAGCTCAGGAGTTTGAGACATGGTAAGACCTTGTCTCTACAATTAAAAAAAAAAAAAAAGTCAGCCGGGCATGGTGGTTCATTTCTGTGGTTCCAGCTACTTGGAAGGCTGAGGGAGAAGGATCGTCTGAACCCAGCAGGTCAAGGCTGCAGTGAGCTTGTGACTGCACTCTAGCCTGGGTGACAGAGTGACATTCCAACTCCAAAAAAAAAGAAGAAAGAAAAAATAATTATTTTCCCTTATAATTTTTATTACTTAATTCATGTATCATAAAATTCACCCTTTTAAAGTGAACAATGTGGCCAGGCACGGTGGCTCAAGCCTGTAATCCCAGTACTTTGGGAGGCCAAGGTAAGCAGATTGCCTGAGCCCATGGGTTCAAGAACAACCTGGGCAACTCGGCGAGGCCTCATCTCCACAATAAATCAAAAAATTAGCTGGGCGTGGTAGCACATGCCTGTAGTTCCAACTATTTGGAAGGCTTGGGCGGAAGGATCACCGGAGCCCAGCAGGTCAACACTCGGGTGGCTGTGAGCATGCCACTGCACTCCAGCCTGGGTGACAGAATAGCACTCCAACTCAAAATAAATAAATAAATAAAGTGAACAAGGTAGTCTTAGTATATTCACAAAACTGTGCAAACATCACCAGTGTTTTGGATCAAATTCCAAAACATTTCATCACCCCCAAAAACCCTTAGTAGTCTCTCTCCATCTCCCACCCCGCCCCAGCCCCTGACAACCACCAACCTACTTTCTGTCTCTCTGGATTTGCCTATTCTAGATATCTCATATAAACAGAATCACATAATACCTAGCCTTTCGCATGTGGCTTCTTTCACTTAGCGTGATGTTTTCTTTTTTGAGTTGGAGTCTCACTCGGTCGCCCAGACTGGAGTGCGGCGGCCGCTCCCGGCCACCGCAGCCTCGACCCGCCGGGCTCCGGCGATCCTTCTGCCTCAGCCTCCCGAGTAGCCGGAATTACAGGCGCGCGCTACCACGCCCGGCTGATTTTTGGATTTATTGGAGAGGTGAGGTCTCGCCAAGTCGCCCAGGCGGGTCTCGAACCCGCGGGCTCAGGCAGTCCACTCGCCTCAGCCTCCCAAGGGCGCGGGATGACAGGCTGAGCCCCCGAGCCCGGCTAGCGTGATGTTTTCAAGGTTCATCCATACGTAGCATGTATCATGCACCCGACCAGGATACTAGACTCTTACCTGATATGTGGTTTGCAAATATTTTCTCCCATTATGTGGGTTACCTTTTCACTTTCTTGACAGTGTCTTTATTTTTATTTTTATCTTATTTTATTTTATAAGTGTCTTCCTTTAAATCTTGAATGATGCCATCCTTGGTCATTTTCTCAGTGAGGAAATGCACACCACCCCCCCAACCCATCTTCCTTTTGCCTGTGCTCACAGAAACTCTGTTGCTTGCAACCAGAAGATTCAGGAACAACCCTCTCAACATTCACAGAAGGGCCAGATAGGAAAAGTCACTGGGCCCGTGGGGATTCATGTCAGGAACCCCTTTGTGCTTTGAGCTGCATTCTAGGCTCATTCCGAAATTGCTGGAACAGTGGTGTGCCCTCTTTCATGACTCCAAGCCAACTATCCTGCCTGAGGAGCAGCAAAGTAAGCAAGAGTCACCTGTGCATCCAAGTTCATGTCTAGGGCCACATTTTGGAGTGCATCCACTCCCTGCCAGGCTGCCCCCTCTCCTTTTGCAGTCTGTTTTGAGGGCACCACCTTCTACTACCTCCCATGCTCCCCGTATCTTAGCCACCTTGGCTTCCTACCTTTCTCTGAACACACTCCTGCTTTCTCTTGCTGTTCTTTCTGGAATGTCCTTCTGACCTTTTTTTTACCCAGAGAGCTGCTCCTTATTATTCAAGAACCCACTGAGTAGCTTGGTGTGATGGCATGTGCCTGTAGTTCTAGCTACTTGGGAGGCTGTGGCAGGAGGATTGCTTTTGCCAGGAGTGCAAGGCTGCAGTGAGTGATGACTGCCCCCCTGCACTACAGTCTGAGAGACAGAGTGAGACCTTGTTTCACAAAAAAAAAAGAAGAAGAAGAAAAAGACTCCATCGAACTGTTTATTTTTCTGGGAAGCCTCTTCCTCTCTTTGAGAGAAAAATTAACCGGTTGCTTTGTATCCCTGGGGCCCTTTGGTGAGCTGGCCACAGTGTAGGCTTCTGGTTGGAAGCAACAGAGTCTCTGTGAGTACAGACAAAAGTAAATTGCATTGTGGGGCGGGAGGGTAGGTATAAGAAGTTCGGGAAAAGGGAACTTCCAGAGGGCAGTGTGGGAAGGGCAGTCTGGCACTCCCTGTCTTGGTGCACCCGTTTTTCTGTGTATCTGTGTCGCTTTCCTTATCCACCTCTCTCAGCCTCCCCATATCGCTCTTCCACTCCACTCTCAATGGACTTTTCCCTCTCACATGGCCCACAATGGCTGCCCCAAGCCCTGCAGATCTTTTCTGCTTTATCACTCACTCCTATGAGAAGGGGCTCAGGCCGGGCCAGCCCCTCTTTTTGAGGCAGGCAGTGAGTCACAGGACATTCTGGGGACTGGTTGCCCCTGAATCAGCCGTCTCCCCAGGACCCCTCATTTGTGGTTACAGACTGGGACCACGGGATACAGAAAAGACCAGGAAGTGTAATTCCAGTGTTTGGGGAGGCTAAGGTGGGAAGACTGCTTGAGGCTTGGAGTTTGCAACCAGCCTGAACAGCATAGTGAGATCCAATCTCTACATAAAATTAAAAAATTCGCTGGAAGGCCAGTGTGGTGGCTCAAGCCTGTAATCCAAACACTTTGGGAGGCTGAGGTGAGGGGATTGCCTGAGCCCACAGGTTTGAGACCAACCTGAGCAACTTGGCGAGACCTCATCTCTACAATAAAAAAATTAGCCGGACATGGTAGCATGCGCCTGTAGTTCCAGCTACTCGGAAGGCTGAGGTGGAAGGATCAACTGAGCCCAGCAGGTCGAGGCTGGGTGGCCGGGAGCGGCCACTGCACTCCAGCCTGGGCAACAGAGTGAGACTCCAACTCAAAAAAAGAAAAGAAAAAAGTTGGTATGGTAGCATGCATAGTTCCAGCTGCCAGGGAGGTTGAAGACGGAGAATCACTTGAATCCAGGAAATCAGGGATGTGATGCGCTGTGATTGTGCCACTGTGCTCCAACCTGGGCAACAGAGCCAGACCCTGTCTCTAAACAAATCAAGAAAGCATGAGGGCCAGTCCTTCAAGCCACTTTCCTTGGAAGGGATTTGCACTGCCATGAGAGACTGCTGTAGTAGTGTCAGCACTTGTCACAGTCTGCTACTATTATTTAATGACATGACTAAGCACGGCCATCCATACCCCCTGGCTTGCGAGCAGGAGCATGTGCGAGCCCACCCTTTTCAGCCCCGATGCCCAGAGCAGGGTGGATGTGTCGTCAGGCCACAGCACTTTAGGATTTAGCTAGAGATGTTCTCACAAATGAACCAGTGGGCTGGCTGCAGAAAGGCCCAGAGACATCCCTCCTGCAAGGAACTGATTCGGTATTAATGCCGTTTTTACAGAGACTTCTCTCACTAACTCATGTATAGAGCACCTGCTTTTTGGTGCATCCCCAGGGCGTGCTGAGGATGTGGTGGCTGCACAGACCATGGCTGGGGAGGCAGCAAGCAGTGCTAGCACAGACAACATGACCGGGACATGCCTCACTGCCCTGTACCTGCTGTCTCTCCCACACCCAGTTAGATAAGCTCAGGACGATCATCGAGAGCATGCTGACCTCTTCTTCCACGCTGCTGTCCATGAGCATGGCCCCACACAAGGCCCTGGCACACGTGGCTCCTGGCCAGATCGACCCTGAGGCCACCTGTCCAGCCTGCAGCCTGGATCTGAGCCATCAGGTCAGCATGCTGGTGGCACGCTACGAGCGGCTCCAGGACATGGTCAGCAACCTGGCTGCCTCCCGGCCCTCCAAGAAAGCCAAGCTCCAGAGTCAGGTGGGTCCTTGCCAGTCTCCCTCCTGCCCTCTCCTGATGCATGCCCACAGGGGAGAGCCACCACCCTGGAGGTTCACAGAGTGAGTGGCTGACAGAGCTCCTCGAGAGGGAAGTTTGGGCCTGAGGGTCAGTCATCTGTGATCCCACAAAAGTCCCTGGTCTTTCTGCAGGGTCACAGCAAGGGTAGCAGCAGACTAGCTCTGGGGACAGGAGACGATGCGGAAGGGCTGGCTTGATGGGGGCAGGGCAGCACAGGATGGCTGAGGGCGGAACAGTGCCCTGCTTGGGCCACGGAGACACAGGCACAGCTGTAGACCTCGAGTCCCCTGGCACGCCAGTCTTCCTGACCCCTCCGATCTCCCTCCAAAGCCCAGCCTTGCTGGTGGGGCAGTCGCAGCCACAAGTTCTTGGGTCCTGCCTCCGGGACTGAGGAGTGTAGATTTGGCCGGAAGGGGTGGGGAGACTGAAGCCCACACCCCAACTCTCAGGGGCCACAGGGCAGCACATCACTCCTGAGCCCCCATCGCCTCTACTGATCCCCACCCCTGGCGGGCCAGGGTCGCCTGAGGCCAGTCCAGGATGTGGGTGACTGACGCTCATGTCCCTTTGGGAGGCCACACAGCAAGCGCACAGAGCCTTCCCTACTGTTAATGGGAAATTGTGATGAAAACCGAGCAAAGCCAGAGCAGGGTCTGGAGTGAGCTCCTCTCAGGGGGCGGCGATGCCGCGGCGGTGGGGCAGGGTCCGTCCCAGCAGTCTCTGAGAGCCCTCCTGTCCCCCATGCTGCAGGATGAGGAGCTGCTGGGCCAGGTGCAGAGTGCCATCCTGCAGGTGCAGGGCGACTGCGAGAAGCTCAATATCACCACCAGCAACCTCATCGAGGACCACCAGCAGAAGCAGAAGGACATCACCGTGAGTGGCCAGCAGGGTGGCTGGGGCATGCCACAGCACCCACCTGCCCTTCAGCTCCTGGCTCTTTGCTTCTCTGCTCGCCCCCCACCCAGGTGCTGTACCAGGGTCTGGAGAAACTCGAAAAGGAAAAGGCTACTAGGGAGCACCTGGAGCTGGAGATTGACATGGTAAGCGCCAGGTCCCAGGAGCCACTCTGTCCAGGGAGGTGTTCCTGGCTGTTCTTTGAGAGGTCAGGAGTAGAGGGAAGCTGGTGGGAAGAGTGTGGACTCTGGGAAACCTGCCCATGTCAAGTGTTGGCACCTTGGGAGAATGGGACCCTCTCCATGGCGCTCTCCCAGGTGGGGCTCTTCTCCTCTCTCTCTGGGCAGAAAGCCGACAAGAGTGCCCTGGCCACCAAAGTGAGCCGGGTCCAATTTGATGCCACCACGGAGCAACTGAACCACATGATGCGGGAGCTGGTGGCCAAGATGACTGGGCAAGAGCAGGACTGGCAGAAGATGATAGAAAAGTTCCTTGGAGAGATGGACAACAAAGTGAGAGACCGGGTGGTGCTGAGGCTGTCCATTGCCATTCCTGCCCCCTGGATCAGGACAACGGCACCTTCTCCAGGACCGGCCCCCATCTACCTGCTTTCTTAGAGCTCACCTGGTTTCTGTCTCCCTCCCCTGCAGCTGGACCGCCTGGAGCTGGACCCAGTGAAGCAGTTGCTGGAGGAGCGGTGGAAATCGCTACGACAGCAGCTCAAAGAGCGCTCTCCACACTACCAGGCAGATGAGGCAGCCGCCATGCGGAGGTGAGGCCTGAGACACAGCAGGGGAGGCTGGCACGCTCTGCAGGGTGAGGACAGGTGGGGGCTGGAGGTCCCCAGACAAACGGCTCCCGCCAGCACATGGCTGATTCTGCCCAGGACCAGCCTGTAGTTGGAGGGACAGAGTTTTAGAGCGTTTAAGCTCATCTAGCTCAGGCTCCTTCATATTACAGTGGAGAAAGGGAGTGGGGCTCTCAGCCTTGGGCGAACCAAGCTGGGCCTTTGGGACAGGGTGGGGGCCTCAGTCTTCAAAGCTGAGCCTCCTGGGGGACCTGGCCCAGGACTAGAATCCTAGAATTCCTATTCTTGGCCACCAGAGGGCTCCCGAGGCTTACACAGGCCACCCTCGGGGCCCGGGGAGCAAGGACCGCTGGCTTTTAGTTAGGACAGGCAGGTGTCGATGTGAGCCCAGAAGAGGGAGCAAGTGAATTTCTGGGGAGCGGGGCCAGGATCTGCCATCCTGGTGGGCTGAGCTTCCTGCCTGCCTGGCCTGCAGAGGACCAAACCCTCTGGGACTCTGGGCAGGGCACTCACTTTGTATGTGCATCCTAACAGACAGCTCCTGGCACATTTCCACTGCCTCTCATGTGACCGACCCTTGGAGACACCTGTGACTGGACAGTGAGTGGACAGACCGTGGACACACGGCCTCGCACAGCAGGGCTGTGTCTCCTCTGCTTCCCAGCCCCCCTTCACCTCTTGTCTCTCCTCTGTCATGGGTCTGTTTCCAGCCCTCGGTCCTTCCAAGCCTGGGATGGTTGGGCAAGTTCTCTAAGGCTGATGGAATATGGGGAGTTGGGTGGATTTGGGCGATGGGACTTCTCACACTCCAACCCACCCTTTTTCTCTCTGAATCTGGCCAGGATCATCCCTGTGACACCTGTGGGTCCGGGCCTGCCTGGGCACCGTTCCATCCGCCCCTACATGGTGTTTGAACTGGAGCAGGTCCGGCAGCAGAGCCGCAAGTATGGGACAGCAGTGTCCAGGGTGGAGCTTTGGATGGGGAGGGCGGGGGCAGAGATGACTCTGGATTTGACGGAAGGCAGCTCTGGGAGGGACAGAATGGAGGGCTTCCTACTTGAGGTTGGGACAGTGGGGGCCCAAGACCCATTTTTGAACCAGCTCCCAGCTCTTCCTGGGGCAGGATTGTTGGATGAAGAAGACCCAGTATTTTTTTTTTTTTTTTTTTTT